TGAGCTTACGTAGATATATGGAATGGAATATCTTTGGCCAATTTTGCTGTCCATCTAACTCAGCCTCCTACGGGGGGGTCACAGATCTCCCCATAGTGTCTGAGCCGGCAGAGTGCAGGTGCAGCCTTGAAGCCTCAGTAGTTAGAAAAACATTCCACTGTCTTATCAGCCTAGCAGAACACACTGTTGCTAGTTAAAAGAAAGCTTACTGAAGGGAAAAAAAAATCAGTAAAAAGAAAAATTGGCTTCATCCTGGCTCAAACCAGGACACCATATTTTATGATCAGTCTGCAAGCCCTGCAGGGTGACCACCCTACACGTCAAGTACCCACTCAGGCAATTAAAAATTCATAGAATAAAAAAATCATAGAATGGATTGGACTGGAAGGGATCTTAAAGGCTATTTAGTTCCACCCAGCACTCCCCCCTCTGCCCCAGCATGGACAGGGACACCTCCCACTAGACCAGGTTGCTCAAAGCCCTGTCCAACCTGGCCTTGAAGGCTTTGCAGGAGGGATCATCCACAACTTCCTTGGGCAACCCGTGACAGTGTCTTACCCACCTCCCTGAAGGATCTCGGGCAATTACAAAGAACACAGTCTGTGTCTTAAAAACTGCACCCACTGCCTCCCATCACCTACAGCTGCTAACAGGGACTGGCCCAGCACTTGTCTGGGAAAAACCCTTACTTTTGCAGGCACTGACCTTTCCTAGCATTGTTTCCTTCCTTTCAGGGTGGCTGCCATGGCTTGTATTTAAAAGGTGCAGTGCATGAAGACCTTGCTTTGTTTACCCTGCCCGCACAAATAAGGCCGAGTAGAGATGGTTTCAGTGGTATGAGATGGTTTAAATGCCCTGCAGGCTAAGAAAGCAGCTGCCGCTGGAGAGGTGACGGAAAGAAGGATGATGGTTCTGAAATGGGGTAATTACGTGCATCGCTGTATTTATATTTATATAGAAATACATATTTCTTAATGCGAGAAACGTTGGTCGCGCCAATGCACAGGCCCACACAGATCCTTCATGCGACGGAAAGAAGGATGATGGTTCTGAAATGGCTGTCTGTAAGGGCTGGGTAATTGCGTGCATCGCTGTATTTGTATTTACATGGAAATACATTATTAATGCGAGAAACGTTGGTTGCGCCAATGCACAGGCCCACACAGATCCTTCAGCAAAGCAGTTTATTTACACTCTTGCAAAAATAGGTGACCTAAGTAAGTGGGCACACCTGACAGGAAGGTGAGTAACTGTTTATATTCCCCATACCCAACGCAAAGTTTGCTCCCCTGTTTCCCCACTGGCTGGGTAGTCCAGGGTTTTACAGCCCGTCCGATGCTTCTAATTATCCTGTAAGTTTCCCACCCCTGTTCACACGTTCCATTCTACGAGTTTAGTTTTTACCTTCTAAGGACCCTGTCCCGGGGAGGGACACAGGAGTGACTTTGCGCTGTCCCTGCCATGGCCTTCGCCCTGTTCAGGTATCTCAGCTCCCCCAGATGAAGCCCAATTAAGTCCCTCAGTTTCTTGGACCACAAATCACCTGAGTGCCCTCGGAACGCCCAGGTAGCTCCTTTCTCCCTTCAGTCACCGTAAGGTCTCTTCTCACTGGGGCAGAAACAAGCTGTTACCTAACACTAGGGTGCGAAAGCAACGCCTCGTTCCTAACACCAAGGTGCGGGAACGGCACCGCACCCCGTTGCTGCCATGAGCAGAACACCCTGTGCCTACGGGCAGCCTGACGCACGGAGCTCCCCGCTTGGGCCTGCCCAGCCCTGCCGGGCACGGACGGGC